TCCTACTGAGTTAAAGCCAGTTGAAAAATAATGTTTACTATATGGTTCCACTTATATAAAGTTCAAAAACAGACAAAACTAATTGATGGTGATTTTGATAGTGTTTACCTTTGGGAAGAGAGGTAGTGACTGAAACGGGGTGCTGATTTCTGACACCATACGTAAATGCTGCCTGTTTTGAACTTCACTGACATGAAATCAAAGTATGCACTTGTGTCTGGTAAAGCCTACTGATATTTGTATGTCAATTGTGTTTAATAGCTAATTTACTAAGTTTTTTTTACTGTTTAGTTTTTCAACAAGTTCATTTGACCTTTCTAGATACATATTCATATCTGCAAATAGTTTTACCTCTTCCTTTCCAATTCACATGTCATTATTTTATCTAACTTCATTGGCTAAAACTCTCAACACATTGTTAAGTAGTAGAGGAGATAGTAGGCATACGTCTTGTTCCTGTCTTCAGCTTAAATTTCAAAGCAGAAAGTCTCTTCTGCTTTGAAATTTAAGATGCTGGCTTTTAGGCAGAGGTACAATGTTAATAGATTATTCATCAATTTCTAGTTAGTATATTTAACGTGAGTGCTGAATTTCTATCGTCTTTTCTACAAAGATGAAATCATATAATTTTTTAAACTCTTAATATGATGAACATTAACAGGTTCTCTAGTATTGAATTACCCTTGCATTCTTATAATAAATACAACTTAGTCATGATTACCTTTTGAAAGTGCTGTTGGATTGTTTGCTAATATATCATTAAAACTTTTCATTAATATTAATGAGATTGGTCTGTAATTTTCTTTTTGGTACAATCTTTGTCAGGTTTTTTAATCAACGTTATTACATTCACTTTATAAAATTAATTTAAGAGTTTCTTTATTTTTTTTTTTGGCACTTTGAGGTTCAAGATTCTTTTCCTAGTCTCTAGATTGTTTAAGCAAGAATGGGATTATTTAATCTTAAAGGTTTGGTAGAAATTCCCTTCAAACAATCTGGGCTTGATGCTTTCTTTGGTAAGGGGTACTTTCAGCTATTTGTTTCTTCTATGGTAATTGGTTTGTTCTGACTTTATCTACCTAAATTTCAGCAATTTGCATTTTTCTTAGTTTTCTAATTTACTGTGTAAAATTGCTCAAAGTAGTCAATTTAAACAGATTTCCTGTTTTACTATTTCCCCCTTGTCATTTACATTTTTGTATTTGTGCTTCCTCCTTTTTTTCTTAAATAGGTTAGCTGGTTTTATCTCACTCAACTCCCCACACTACCCATCACCAACTTGGATTTATTGCCTTTTGTTTTGCTTTTATCTTTATTAATTCCTTCCTTCTGCTTTCTTTTGGTTTGCTTCTTACTCCAAGTGTTTGGTACTGGCTTAATTGTCATCTTTTCCTACTTTTACTGATAATTGTACTAATAGCTATACATTTCCTGTCATAATTGCTTTTTATTTTTTGGCAAATATTGTTTTTATCTGTCTTGTGGTCATGTCTTTCTGGTGTGCTTTCATTGTCTGTGAGGATGTTACTCTATTTATTCTCTTATTTCTTACACTAAATTGAATGAAGTTGGACTGTAATACTGGCTCAGTTACTCTTTTTTTCCCCTTAACTGAAATGAGTTTTTCTGTACTCTTAGGATGGAAGAGTGGCTCTAGGACGACTTCCAGCTTCATGGCCTTAGAGCTCCCTTTTCATTTTCACAGTGATTTAAAAGATTATATATGTTTGTATAGATATATGAAAATACATACATATATATAAAATGTCTCTGTATCTTGGCCTTTCTTCCCAATATTTATCTAGACCTTCTCTTTCTTTAGTCCTATTTTACCCATCCTGCCTCATTTGGATTCTAATTCTGGAAGTTTGTCCTCAGTGCTGGGCTTTGTCTCATTAGCTTCAAGGGGCACACAGTGTAAAACCCAGACTGCTCTAATGCAGTCATCAGACCTTATCATATTGCTTTAACATTCACCTGCAAATGGGATCCTGTAGAACACTTCCCAGTTTCAGTATCTGTTCTTAGATTGGCCCACCGCACTTTGTAGTGAGAAACTGTGGAGAGTGCTGTTGTTCTCCAATTTGCAGAACTATCAGAAATCAGCTGCCTTCCTTCTACTTCCTCCTACAGATACTGAAACTATGTGGGTCAGTGGTTTCTTCTCACTCAGTTGTATTTTCAAGTTCTTAGAGATACCTTGTCATCTAGCATTGTAATAGTGTCTGTGGCTATCCTAGTTGCTCTGTTTTGTTATGGGAGATTAGAAAACACTGCTGTCATCATTTTCCCTGAGTCTAAACTGTTAAGGCCTCGTTCTGTTGTAGAAGAGAGGCTTTAACTAAAAAAAAAAAAAAAAAAATTTATAATCATTATAACAGAACCTATAATTAGAAATTTGCTGTATTTCAGGTACTATCCTAAGTGCTTTACTTGTATTATCTCATTTAATCCTAAAACAATCCTGTGAGTTAGGTTTTCCTATTTTCCTTATTTTATCAATGGGAGAGTTAGGGTCCAAGATCAAGCTGCTGAACTGGCAAATCTGGGATTTAAACCCAGGTCATCTGATTCCAGAGCACCTCCTCATTAACTGTCTCTCGAAAATGTTTTCAAATTATATATCACTGTCAGCAAGATTTCTATATGAATTTAGATTAAATACTTATAAGTAAATATTTAAAGTTCTAATAACACATATCTATTATAGGTCAAATCTAAAAACACTGTAAATGATAAACAGGTTAAATTACGCCATATGATCTGATTACTTTGATTTGTATGCAGATGCTCAAAACAAAGCTCCTCCTACTACCTTCTAAAAAAATGCCACAAAAGTAGGGGGTGGGAAAGAGATGAGCAGGGAGTAGGAAATAGAGCTCTTTGAGATTTTGGACTTCATATTTACCCTCATTATATCACTCCTGCTAAGAAATAAAGTATATATGTGACATATTGCTTACAATTTATTTAACGGATACATACTTTTCTTGTAAATAACTAGAAAAGTTAGAAATAAAATTTATCCACAATTCACACTGGCCTATTTTTTGGTCAATTAAGTTGCTGTGGAATGTGAACATTTACTAGTCCATAAAGTTTCACAAGAAAGTCTCCAACAAGCATACCAATTAGAAGCATACTATAATTTATAATCTTATGGTATTAAATTATAAGAAGTTAGAAAATATTTAGCCTTATGAAATACTTTTAGATTGAAATTTCTCTCATTTATGAATACAGTCACTGTTACTACCTTTCTTACCTTGTAATCTTTCTTGGTGACATAGAAGAAACAATATGGGCTTTTTATATAGCCATAAACGCATTATATATGTTACTTCAACTTACAATGTCTAAGAGATGACTTAGTTTGAGATATGAATGTCTTAATTTGCTAGGATTTAAATAGTAGCAACTGGAATAACCTATAAAAGAATAACATCTATTATTAAGCTCATTTTCTCCCCCACCATCAGATTTATTTTATTTCTAATTAAAAAACATAAGTTAATTTTGGCAAACTCAGGTTTAAAACTAAGCATGCCAATAATAAATGAATCATTTCTCCAAGTACACAGTGTTTCCCTTGGGAATGACTGTTACTTTTCCAACATTTTTTTCCTCTAATTTAGAAAAAAGATAACATTTAAAATATTACAATGCCTAAACAGTGATACCAGCAATCTAGATTTTGTACTGATGCCTGTAGCACTAATATCTCAACATTTATTACCACCAAGGACAACTTAAACCCAACTCCTTTAGCGAAGCGATTTCTTTCCCCATTTCTATACTAGGCTCATAGTTCTGAATGTCACTAAGTAATGGATGTGACTTATTGATGAAGAGTTTTTATACGATCTCCTTTATAATAACCTAGTTCACAGGCTTAAGAAAACAAGTTTCTTACCCTCTAAATGGTTACATTTTCCTCTCACTTACCTGAACATATGAAAATAATGACCATGTATAGAGTTGCACCACTGAATCTATTTGAGTGGTTCTGTTTTTGTATTTAATTTTCTACTTATTTAATTTGAAAAAAATTAGAAAAGTATTAGTTTGAAATTAGAGCAGCTAACACACTGCAGGCAACAAATTCAAAAAAACTCAAATGACTAAAAATAAAAACACAAAGTATTTTCCTTCAATATAAAAAAAGATTGCTTTCTTCCCAGACAGCAAAAAAAAAAAAAAAAAAAAAAAAAGAGGACAACTAACGAATCAAACATAACTGGTATTCACCACAGCAATGTCTAAATAAATGATCCACATAGCACAAAGCTCTCATTCACAATCACATAGTTAAGTTGCTTTTCTCTCAGTTACATAATAGTTGTCTTCAAACAATCTCCCTTTAGAAAACTATCACATTAAACCTATTTATTCTTACTATTTAGTTATTAATTTCATTTATATAGGCCACACAGGTTTAATTGGCACACTTTACTTAAGAATAAGACAAAATAAGTCACTCTTCTTTAAAAAAAAATTATGGTCATCTGTTTTTAAAGAATAATCCCAGATACTTAATTCATTAAAGCAAATTTTCTACCATCAACAGTGAGCTTTTCAAATGACCACTACGTGTTCACCTGAAGATTATCAATGCTATATGAAGTGTAAACTTGTTTTGAAGATTCGCGTCTATTTTATAGTAAGATACAATTTGCACTGAAGAGTTTTTAAAAAGATAACCTACACACATAACAGTTAATTTGCCTCAAACAACTTCTTAGAAATACAATATAAACACTTAAGAACCACGACAAAGTTGGTGGTTCAAACATCAACAAAGATTTTCTTGAAACCCAGTACAAAGATTACTGGTTCAACACTATATCCCAAAGTGACATCAGCAGGAGATTTGATTCTAAGACTCTACCTTTTAAAAAAAGAGCACACTTGGTTATACATGGCTTTTAAACTTAAGCTACAGTTATGCTACAAATCCCCCCACCCTCCCAATTTAAAGTCAGTCACGTGGAGATATGTACATTCTCTGAGCATTGTTTAGAGTCCTTGGTTTTCCAGCTTTGATGGAGATCTAGAAGGCGTTCAGAAGTCCGTGTGCTTACATTCAGAGCAGGATGAACTTTACAAATTCCACTTTCCTCCATTAGTGACAAGCCACAGATCCCAAAGTATGCATGCAAAGCATCTGAAAAGAAGGCATTTAAAAAATCATAATAGGCATTCTTTCTTGTACATTCTTCCAAATATTTTAGCTACATATTTACCAGCCCATCACTCCATTAAAAGTAAGTTTAGAGAAATGCTAATATAGTTTTAAAAATATTTGCTTTCTCAAAGTCTCAAACGCCAATTTATAAAAAAAAAGAACAACCCAGATAATCAAAATAAAATATTTTATTCATGGAAATATCATTAACAAAGGAAAACAGTTTCCAGCTGAGGAGTTGACATTTTCAATAACTTCTGTGATTAAAAGACAGGAGAAGCAGCAGTAATATATAAGACTTGTCACTTTAGGGAGTTTCCGTTTTTGCTTAGCAGAGAACATGGAAACAAGTAGCTTCAGTGCTATACCATTAAAAAAAATTTTTTTTAAATGACAACAAGATTCTGAATCTAAGTTGCAATACCCCTCCCTCCATATTTTACCTCTGAAAGTTCCTAAACCATATACAGTACTATTCTAACACTGTGTTAAATAAGAGGAGCTTAAGCAAAAATAATCCATTCTGGAATGCTATGCCATATTTAATCCTCCTATTTAAGGTAATGTCAGTCATTCTAAAAATATCTGATCTGACAATAAAAACAAACTCACATTTTATTTGGTTGAAATAATATAAGTGCTCATATCATTACAATTCTTCTGTGCTGGCTCACAGTTTCCCATCTTTCAAGGGGCAGGAACCCTCTTCTATTAAGAGTGGCCAATGAAATCACATGGCCATTCCTGCCTAGAAGTCTTACGTAGACTTCTGAAGAGCTCAGGGCTTTGCAGTTATAGGAGCACTACAAAGACAGTTTGGTACCAGTCAATAATTTTTTTCTATTTTTGAACTGGTCAACATTTATGGCTTTAAGAGTTATTAAAGTTCAAAACAGGCCAGGTGTGGTGGCTCACCCTGAAGTCCCAGCACTTTGGGAGGCCGAGGAGGGAATACTGCTTGAGCCACAGGAGTTCGGTACCAGCCTGGGCAATATGGTAAAGCTCCATCTCTACAAAAAATACAAAAATTAGCCAGGTATGGTGGTGTGTGCCTGTAGTTCTGGCTATCTGGGAGACTCACCCCAGCCTAGGGATGTTCAGGCTGCAGTGAGGCATGATTGTATCACTGCACTCCAGCCTGGGCAACGAAATGAGACCCTGTCTCAAAACAACAACAATAAAAAGTTCAAAACATCTTACCAAGTCAAACTATGCCAAAAGGGTTAAGGAAAAAGCTTTACTTACAAGAGTATCATTTATTTTTCAAAATAGAAATGACAATTAGTTGTGCTTACTCAATGCCATTGTGAAGAGTTATTTCACTAACAGAAGCCCATGTTGATCACCTTTTAGACCTTCTCAGTAAATACTTAGGTTTCTTCTGGCTCACTTTCCTTTGACTTTCAGACTATAAAAAATAAATTTGTTTTCTCCTGTAATATTACATCATTCCGTATAGTTATTCTAAAACTACCAAGGGTACAAAGCAACATTAAGCTTTGTTTTCTAGAAACTAGGAAACTTTTCTACGAAAAAGTACAACAGAAGATATATATCCATAATAACGTAAAATAGAACTGTGTAAAACTAAAATCTCCCTGGATAAATTAACAAATAAAACATTTTTTTTCTCAAAAAGATTTCTGTAACAGCCAATGAGATCAGAACTCAATTATTTCAAGCTTCAAATTGTTTTTTTTTTTTTTTTAAACTCTTTATCCGTAAGTGGCAATATACAAGCACTTTAGATGTGGAAATAGAAGTTTACTCCATACTGAAGCACTTTAGATGTTGAAATATATATTTACTCCAAAATAAATTATTTTGAAGTTTCATAAATGTATATAAAATCCCTTTGTGTCAAATGTCCTACTAGATTTACTAGAACCAAGAATAAGCTTAATTTTAAAGAGTCTTGGTAAATTGATTATAAAGGTTCTGGGACCAGATCTTTATACATAAATTCAATTTATGAAAGACTTTCTATGTTTTCTAGTGCATACTCTGAAAACAGTGTCATGTATCTGTAAAATGTAAGTGGTACATCCAAATATTTACACAAATGTTAAAGTTAGCAACTGATCTCTCTAGAAAAAAGCCTCAAGAATTTTCTTTTAAAAAAGCTATTGGAAATACTGAATGTATTTCAAGTATGTTTATATAAGAAATGTTTTCTAAGAGACTGTCATTTCTCCATTGCCACTATTTGTTAAAACAGTAACCTGCACTGATTGAAAAAATGGGATCAAGACCAAAATAATTCTCAGTTTTCTTGAGGCACCAGGGACCAAAAATTTCAAAATATTATTTTGCTTGAGAAATTAACTTCTGAAAACACACTTTGGCTTACAACTTTGAAAGCACTGTACACTTTTTCTAAGGAAGTGTGTTTGTTTGTTTGTTTATTTTTTGAGACAGTCACGCTTTGTTGCCCAGGCTGGAGTGCAATGGTGTGATCTTGGTTCACTGCAACCTCTGCCTCCCGGGTTCAAGCGATTCTCCTGCCTCAGCCTCCCAAGTAGCTGGGACTACAGGCATACGCCACCATACCTGGCTAATTTTTTGTATGATGAGGTTTTTTGAGAGATGGGGTCTTGCCATGTTGGCCAGGCTGGTCTCAAACTCCTGACCTCAAGTGCTCCCCACCCACCTCAGCCTCCCAAAGTGCTGGTATTACAGGCATGAGTCACTGTGCCGGCCTTTTTATTTTATTTTTTGAGACAGACTCTTGCTCTATCGCCCAGGCTGGAGTACAGTGGCATGATCTTGGCTCACTGCAACTTCTGCCTTCCAGGTTCAAGCGATTCTCCTGCCCCAGCCTCCTGAGTAGCAGGGATTACAGGCGCCCGCTACCACGCCTGTCTAATTATCGTATTTTTAGTAGAGGCAGTTTTTACCATGTTGGCCAGGCTGGCCTCAAACTTCTGACCTCAAGTGATCCACCCACCTCAGCCTCCCAAAGTGTTGGGATTAAAGGCGTGAGCCAATGCACCTGACGTAGGAAGCATGTTTTATATGAAAATACAGGCAGGTATGGGTGTAAGGAAATATTCCTGCTCATTTCAAATACAAAAATATGATCTCATGAGCTCATTTATATTTTGATTCAAGTATATATTCCAACCATAGCAGTTCTACGATGGAAGATGAGTTGATGAGGTACATTCTGGACTAATAATAAAAACCATGACTCTATTGCAATACTGGCATAAACAATTATTCCTTGTGTCTAGTTTCATATTCATAACTAATTCTTTGACTACTTGCTTATCAAAAATGTCAGTGTATTTTTGTATTTTTAATAGAGTCAGGGTTTCACCATGTTGGCCAGGCTGGTCTTGAACCCCTGACCTAAAGTGATCCACCTGTCTCGGTCTCCTGAAGTGTTGGGATTACAGGTGTGAGCCACTGCACCTGGCCTATTTAATGACTTCTGAAAAGAGTAAGAACTGATTCCCTTCAGGATTGAGGGTAATTTATTCTACTTAGCTCAAGTCATGACTAATAATGACTTTGGATGGACTAAATAATCCTCTATTTTGGAAAGGACCCATTCAGACCATCTATGTTACTGCTGCAAATGAAATAAAACATTATGAAGTAAAATATTTGGGAAAAAATGCACAATATACCGAAGCATCTCGATAATAAACTCTTTCCTTTATACTCCCCAACACCCTAAATCTGTCCTAAGCTTACACAATCTGCCTTTTAAAAAACATTATTTAATGTAACTTTGCAACTGTGGATATATTTTCTATCATATGCCTTTTCTGATAAAGATGTTTGAAGAGGAAATAATGGTTGTTCTGGATTCACACAGAAAATAGTTACCTGGATGACTGTCTGGCCACTTGGCAAATCCTCCTACGAGGCGATCTTGAGTTGATAAGATGTAATTTCTATTTTTCTCAAAGTTAGTATATTGGAAAATTTTTAGAAGCTGCAATGACATGACAAGTACAAATTTACTAACATAAAACTTATATAAACCTTTGGCTCAAATTTCAGATATGCATCATTTAAATATGCTTTTCTTTAGCTAAGGGCTCAGAGAAAATCTCTGGGGCCTTCAGAACTTGAAATGAGTCAATTACCTTATCTTTTTTATTTTCTTATCAAATCTACTCTCCTTTTCTTGACCCTCTATTTCATTCTTTTGAATCAGGCCAACTGAACCCTTTGAATCACATTAAGCTAAATTCAAAAGACTGCAATCCACTCAATATAATCAGTCATTTAAAAAAGTACAAATTCATCTACCCATATTTTAACTCTTATGATAAGCTATTGAGGTATTAGTTATAAACTTCTAGTAATTGGAACTAAAAATATTTTTAAAAAAGAGCAAACAAAAATGACTAACCAGATGCTAGAGACAGTTTGAAAATAGTAAAAAATTATAGTTCTTTACTTAGGAAAAAAAAAGATAAGACAAAAAAGATTGCAACATAAAAAAGTATACAGTTTTAAATGATTTAGGACATATACTTGTTCTTTCTCTCAAGATCCCATAAAAGTAAAACACAAACAGGTAAATAAAACTGTGAAGTTCAAGAGGAAGTATGCAGTAGATAAGAGGGTTCAAGAAATTTCTGAAGATACAAAGCAATTTAATGTATGTTAATGAATCAAAGAGAGAGCCACAGCTTTTAGTGATTGATGAAGAAGCACTATTTCTCAAAAACAAAAGCTAAATCCATAAGAAAGTTATGGTACAAACAAGAAACAAATTTATTCGTCAACACTGATTTAATTAATAGAATATAAGGAAAAGGACCTTTCTAGAATCTTGATGTTAGAAACATTTTCCATCAAGTGGCAAACTGGTCATTATATAAAAATGAAGAAATGATAATCTTAACACTGCACTTGGTTTAGCAATAAACAATATTTGCATTATCATAAAAAGTGTTGATTGTTGGTTTTCAAATTTTATAATCAACCTATATGCAAAGCCTGAAAGATGTGATTATTATTGCTGAAGAAAAATACGAATGTTTCCTAACTTAACGTTATAAAAATAAAGGTAACCATATAGCATTGGAAGGTACAAGATAAGGAAAAGATTCAGAACTAAATATAATGGGTAACAATTTATTGGAAAAGAAAGAGGCTAAATCTTGATTTTTCATAGTTGGGAATTACAGATAATGTCTAAAGGTGATAAGAAGTCAGTGTGTGATTTAAAGTTATGGCAATGTCCAAGAAAATTAAAACATTTTTAAAAAGTTTAAAAGTGGCTGCCTTCACAAAGTTGTCAAACACTGCTGATGTCAAATAAAAAAGACCTGGATCTCTGGAACACATTTAAAGCAGTGTCTATAGGGAAATTAAAAAAAACCAAAAAGACTTAGGATAACTTGAAAGGGTTCCTATAGTCTAAAGATGGTAGCAATTTGAGCATAAAACACACACATACATACACACACAAACACACACCCATACACACACACACACACATATATATATATATACATATATATATATATATATATGACTAAAAAATTGTTAAAATCTATGTGTTCACAATGATTCTCAAAAAAACTCCCAAACTCTAAAACCTAATATTTCATTAGAAAAACTGAGGGGATGGTAGGGAACCAACTCATTTTGTTGAACACTATTAAGAGAAAGAATCTGTTATTCAACTGTCCTTCTCTGTACAAAGTATATCTCAGGGTAAGGTAAAATTATTCTTTAAAAAGAATGCTAGTTAATAAATTGAGAAGGAATGAAAGAATACCACTGTTTTGTAACCTCTTAATGCCATAATTGATTTAAGCAATGATCCTTAATGCCTGTTAAAACCATTCTATAAAAAGCTGATAGTTTCTATAGACTAGCAACGAACAATCCAAAAGGAAATTAACAAAGCAATTACATTTACAAGAGCATCTAAAATAATTAAATCCTTAGAATTAAATCTTAACAAAAAGGTGAAAGACTTGTATGACGAAAACTACAAAACACTGCTGAAAGCAATTGAAGACAACCTATATAAATGGAAAAGCATCTTGTGCTCATGGATAGGATAGGAACACTCAACTGTGTTATGATATCACTACTACCCAAAGCGATCTACAGATTCAATGCAATTTCCATCAAAATTTCAAAAGACTTTTTTGCAGAAATGGGAAAGTCAATTACCAGATTCATATCAAACTGCAGAGGGCTTCAAATAGCCAAAACAATCTTAAAAAAGGAAAGTTGGAAGTCTCAAACTTCTTGACTTTGTAACTTACTACAAAGCTACAATAATCAAAACAGTACATTACTGGCACAATGGCAGTCATATAGAACAATGGAATAAAATAGGAAGTCCAGAAACAAACCTCACATATATGGTCAACTGATTTTCGACAAGGGTGCCAAAACCATTTAATGGAAAAGAACAATCTTTCAACAAATGGTGTTAGGAAAATTAGATATCCACATGTCAAAGAATGAGGTAGGAGCTTAACTTACATCACATAGAGAAATGAACTTAGAACTGATGAAAGACCTAACCTTAAGGCCTAAAACCATAAAACTATTCGAAGAAAACACTGAGGAAAATCTTGATGACACTAGATTCAGGAATAATTTTATGGACATGACACCAATAACACAAGCAATAAAAGAAAAATTTTGATAAAATTGGAATGCATCAAAAAACTTTTGTGCATTATTAAAGGACACCATCAACAGAGTAAAAAGGCAACCCAAGGAATGAGAGAAAATATTTGCAAATCATATATCTGATAAGGAATTAATATCCAGAATATATGAAGAACTCCCACAACTTTGTAACTACAAAAGAAGCCAGATTTAAAAATAGCCAAAGGCCTTGAATAGATATTTCTCCCAAGAAGATATACAAATGACCAATAAGTACATAAAAAGACACTCAATATCATTAGAAACACACAAATCAAAACCACAATGAAATGACACTTCAAACCAATTAAGATGGCTATTTTACACGTATATATATATCAAACAGAAAAAACAAATGTTAGTGAGAATGCAGAGAAATTGGAAATCTCATACATTGCCTAGAGGGAATATAAAATGTTGTAGGTGCTGTGGAAAAGTTTGTCATTTCCTCAAAAAGTTAAATGAAGAACTACCATATGACCCAGCAATTCTACTCCTACATATATATAGTACCCCTCAGAAATGAAAGCAGTGACTTGAACATATACTTATACAACCATGTTTCCAGCAGTATTATTCACAACAGCCCAAAGGTGAAAACAACTCAAGAGACCATCAACAGATAAATGAAGAAGAAAAATGTGTTATTTATATACAATGGAATATTATTCAGCCATTAAAAAATGAAATTTTGATGTGCACTATGACATAAATAAATCCTGAAACCACTATGCTAAGTGAAATAAGCCAGAAACAGAAAGACAAACATTGTATGATTTTACCTATAGGAGCTATCTAGAATAGACAAATTCATAGTGGCAGAGAGTAGAGGAGAGGTTACCAGGCTGAGGGGAAAGAATAGGGAATTACTGTTTAATGTGTACAGGATTTATGTTAAATATAATGAAAAAGTTTTGTATGGTGGTGAGGATTATACAACATTGTAAATGTAATTAATGCTAGTGAATTGTACACTTACAAATGTTTCAACTGATGAGTATAATATGCTATGTATATTTTCAACTCTGGAGCTCTTTGATTAAAAGGAGAGCCAATTGGATATTACAAGCCTCTTGATGTGATGCAACAGGAAATATACATCATCACTAGATATTTAATGATAATAAGCAATTATGGCTGTTTTTTAAGATGTGATGACTCTAAGATTCTGTTTTTATAAAAAGTTATTTTCATTTAGAGGTTATATTAAAAAGTTTCCAGAGAATACAATAAATGATATCTGGGCTCTGATTTAAAATAATTCAGTGAATGGAAGGAAAGCTTTGGGTTGATAATTGCTGAGAATGGTTGATGGACACATGGGGGTTCATCATACTATTCTCCCTATTTTGAACATGCTTGAAATTTCCCACAGTCAAAAAAAAAAAATTAAGATGATGCACCTGAGAAATGGTGCTACAAGTGAGGAGAGACAGGGAGACTACTGTCATTACTTCAAATAATTTTTTTCCAATTATACATGAACTTTAAGAGAAAAAGTGAGGGTATTATACAGAAGATGAACACAGACTCCTGTTAGATTCTAGAATATCAGAACAAAGAGACAATTCTTAAAAGTGAAAAGGCAAGTTTAAGATAAAAAAAAAATTGTATTTAGTGACTAAATAACCTTTTGAAGGAATGACCCATGGTTTGATTTTTAAGATTAATACCTTCCCATATTTTCTTTACTGTTATCATTTTTAGACAGATCCTTGATTTATATAAAGTAGTCAGTTCCAGTTACAAGTTTTTTTATTACCTTATACCTACAACAAAGTAAGTATTTAATATGTTCTATGTTAGGTTTAAGTAGGCATAAAACTCAAGTTCTGGATTACTTGAGTTTTCTAAAAATGAAACTTTTCAAGCAGCACAAGAGATAACGTAATTCTATGGAAGAACTGTAGAGACTAGCTTTGGCAGAGCAAAGAAAAAACTCAGTAGCCTAAACCTAACAATATTTATATTTAATACACATTACAAAGGTCAAATCTTTTTAGCACAACATATATAAACACAGAATGTAGGTTTCTCATTTTCATTATTTCTCTTACCTTTAGAGTTGCTCCCACCCAAAAAGAGTAACAGGTGTCTACAGGCTTATTAGGTCTTCCATGATAACCATTTTGTTGCCTCATTATACACCACCTCTTTATCCTGTTCAATTCTTTTTCTGAAAAAACTTCTTCTAGTTTACCCATTAGACATAGTGAGGCAATGCCACAAAAAGTAGATCCTCCTGTTAATCAAAACCACACAATGTTTTAAACTTCAAATTAGACACTTATAAAAACAGTACAAAATAGTCGAGTGAAAAAAGTGGTTATAAATTCTAGAAAACAGTAAAATTTAAAAGATGAGATTTTAAAATAACCACTATAACAAGTCTTCAATATTAACTTGATAAAACAGAGGATAGTATAAAGCTCTAAGAAACATTTCACTTATTAAAAAAGTAAGACTTGGAATAAGATTAAGGAATTTGTTTAAAATTACATGGTTAATGGCAGATTTAGAACTAATATCTGGGACTACTAACTCCCTGTCCAGGACCCAGTCACCTGAGAATGATTTTTAAGTCCCTTAAAGACTTATTGCTTATGAATTGAGGTTCCGTCAGCACTAAGCTACAATAGACAAGTTTTCACAAATAACATAAACAAGTTAGAAGCTGATAAGCAGATATTACAGCTAGTCAGCTTAAGAATTTTAAGGAAGAAAAGAATAAAGCAGTGGGTGAAGTGGGGGGTGGGGCAGTAGGAAAGTGGGAAATCAAATATGAAAGCAGATGCACAGTACGACTTCAAAACATATCCATATCCTCTGTGGTAGGCTGACTAATGCCCCCCCCCTCAATATTTAAGTCCTAATCCCTGGAACCTGTGAATGTTACTTCATATGGAGAAAAAAGTGTTGCAAATGTGAATAAGGTAAATGATCTTGAAATGGGGAGATTATTCTGTTTATCTGGGTGGGCCCTAACTGTGCTCACAAGTGTCATTATAAGAGGAGAGAAGGAGAGCAGATTAACAGAGAGGAGGTTGGCAATGTAACAATGGTGGCAGAGATTTGAATGTTGTACCCAAAGGCAAGGAATGCCAGCAGCCATTAGAAGCTGGGAAGAGACAATGAACAGATTCTCCCCTGAAGCCACTGTTGGAGAAAGGAGCCAGCTCAGTGGACATCTTGATTTTAGCCCTGTAAGCCTCAGTTCAGACTGAGTCACAGATGTATAGTTCTGGCCAGAAATGGAGAAAATAAATTTGTATTGCTTTACGCCCCTCTATTTGTGCTAAAATGCTACAGCAGTGATAGAAAACTGATACATTGGGCCGGGCGCGGTGGCTCACACCTGTAATCCCAGCACTTTGGGAGGCCTAGGTGGGTGGATCATGAGGTCAGGAGCTTGAGACCAGCCTGACCAACATGGTGAAACCCCATCTCTACAAAAAACAAAAAACAAAACTAAAAAAAAAAAATTAGCCAGGCATGGCAGCACATGCCTATAATCCTGTAATCCCAGCTACTCAGGAGGCTGAGGCAGCAGAATCACTTGAACCTGGGAGGCAAAGGTTACAGTGAGCCAATATCGCACCACTGCACTCCATGAGCCAAGATCGCACCACTGCACTCCAGCCTGGGAAACAGAACAAGACTCTGTCTCAAAACAAAACAAATATACTCACAAAGGCAATTGCTTTCCTCAGGGAATGAAAAGTCAGTATTTTTCCGTATAAGAAAAGAAACAACACTTTTTACTGGCATTATTTGTTGTCAACTCCAAAAAATTTGAAAATACTTATATTTCCAATTTATTATGACTTCACATAGTGATTTTTATTAATTTCAGCAATTTAAATGTCTCTTCCTAATATATCTCATGCCTTAACTTTCCTTTTGGTGTTACAAATCTTAAATGTATTCTCTGGCAAAGAAAAGGTCAGCATTCCCTCTAGAAAACTCAAGGTAGCTGTCATATTAGAAGTGTTACTGACAGTTAAGAACTGTTTAATGTTCAGAATTAGCTGAGACATCTATGCTAGTGATAAACCAAATGAAAAGTAAAAAAAAAAAAAATATTACAACCTTTTAGAATAACTTCTGTTAAGCAACTATTAATCTTATTTCCTTTTCAAATGACTCAATTACTTTCCATTTCTCTTTCATGATAACCAGGCCATGATTTCAAGTCTTATTACATCATTAAATATAAAGCAAATTGGCACAATTCAAAGTAAAAATACTCTTTACTTTGTCCAAACTATTGGTTTTTGAAAATAACAACTCCAGAAGTAAGTGTGAACGAACTCTGGGTGGCCAGAAACATTTACAAAGTCTATACTTTAAACTAACATTAATTTATGAATAGGTAAGCCTAAAGTCCTAATGTCTCTTGTTTTATACAAGTCTCTAAAAAACTAGTTCTAAAATCCTTAATAAAAAGTATTATGTTAGGCTGGGCATGGTAGCTCATGCCTGTAATCCCACCACTTTGGGAGGCTAAGGCGGCAGAACTGCTTATAAGTCCAGGAATCTGAGACCAGCCTGGGCAACATAAGGAGACCTTCTCTCTACAAAAAATATTTTAAAAAATTAGCCAGGCGTGGTGGTGTCCACCTGTGGTCCTAGCAACTTGGAAGGCGGAGTTAGAAGGATCACTTGACGCCACCCCAGTCTGGGCAACACAGCGAGACCACGTCTCAAAAAAAAAAAAAAAAAAAAGTAGCAGTATGTTAGAAGGGTGTTAAAGGTAGGTGTAAAAACAACAAGAAAAGCGACATCTTGATGAAAAGTACATTATGAAATACTATCTAAAAACAGGCACAAGGACTAAAATAGAGTATCTTTTTGGGGCTAAATAGGGTTAGATCAATGATCTACACACACTTCAAAATACTTCAACAATATTATATTATTAAAAGTACAATACTAGAATTGTTCCTCATTATAATGATCTGAATTCATCAAGAAAAGGTTAAACTGTTCATTTTGCCTTAGTTGAAGATAGTAGAAACAAAACTTTAAGGATAGCAGTAAGAGCTTTTTCGCAACGGGTTTGCCGCCAGAACATAGGTATCGTGAAAACTACCCCTAAAAGCCAAAATGGGAAAGGAAAAGACTCATATCAACATTGTCGTCATTGGACATGTAGATTCGGGCAAGTCCACCACTACTGGCCATCTAATCTACAAATGCGGTGGCATCGACAAAAGAACCACTGAAAAATTTGAAAAGGAGGCTGCTGAGATGGGAAAGGGCTTCAAGTATGCCTGGGTCTTGGATAAACTGAAAGCCGAGCGTGAACATGGTATCACCATTGATATCTCCTTGCGGAAATTCGAGACCAGCGAGTACTACGTGACTATCATTGATGCCCCAGGACACAGAGACTTCATCAAAAACATGACTACAGGGACATCTCAGGCTGACTGTGCTGTCCTGATTGTCGCTGCTGGTGTTGGTGAATTTGAAGCTGGTATCTCCAAGAACGGGCAGACCCGAGAGCATGCCCTCCTGGCTTACACACTAGGTGTGAACAACTAATTGTTGGTGTTAACAAAATGAATTCCACTGAGCCACCCTACAGCCAGAAGAGATATGAGGAAATCGTTAAGGAAGTCAGCACTTACATTAAGAAAATTGGCTACAACCCCGACACAGTAGCATTTGTGCCAATTTCTGGTTGGAATGGTGACAACATGCTGGAGCCAAGTGCTAACATGCCTTGGTTCAAGGGTTGGAAAGTCACCCGTAAGGATGGCAACACCAGTGGAACCACGCTGCTTGAGGCTCTGGACTGCATCCTACCACCAACTCGTCCAACTGACAAGCCCTTGCGCCTGCCTCTCCAGGATGTCTATAAAATTGGTGGTATTGGTACTGTTCCTGTTGGCCGAGTGGAGACTGGTGTTCTCAAACCTGGTATGGTGGTCACCTTTGCTCCAGTCAACGTTACAATTGAAGTGAAATCTGTTGAAATGCACCATGAAGCTTTGAGTGAAGCTCTTCCTGGGGACAATGTGGGCTTCAATGTCAAGAATGTGTCTGTCAAGGATGTTCGTCGTGGCAACGTTGCTGGTGACAGCAAGAACGACCCACCAATGGAAGCAGCTGGCTTCACTGCTCAGGTGATTATCCTGAACCATCCAGTGCTGGCTATGTCCCTGTACTAGATTGCCACACAGCTCACATTGCCTGCAAGTTTGCTGAGCTGAAGGAAAAGATTGATCGCCGTTCTGGTAAAAAGCTGGAAGATGGCCCTAAATTCTTGAAGTCTGGTGATGCTGCCATTGTTGATATGGTTCCTGGCAAGCCCATGTGTGTTGAGAGCTTCTCAGACTATCCACCTCTTGGTTGCTTTGCTGTTCGTGATATGAGACAGACAGTTGCTGTGGGTGTCATCAAAGCAGTGGACAAGAAGGCTGCTGGAGCTGGCAAGGTCACCAAGTCTGCCCAGAAAGCTCAGAAGGCTAAATGAATATTATCCCTAATACCTGCCACCTCAGTCTTAATCAGTGGTGGAGGAAGAACGGTCTCAGAACTGTTTGTTTCAATTGGCCATTTAAGTTTAGTAGTAAAAGACTGGTCAATGATAGCAATGCATCGTAAAACCTTCAGAAGGAAAGGAGAATGTTTTGTGGACCACTTTGGTTTTCTTTTTTGCTTGTGGCAGTTTTAAGTTATTAGTTTTTAAAATCAGTACTTTTTAATGGAAACGACCAAAAATTTGTCACAGAATTTTGAAACCCATTAAAAAAGTTTAATGAGAAAAAAAAAAAAAAAAAGGATAGCAGTAAGAATATTAAAGCAAATACAAATAAGAGAAGAAGAAGAAAGATTTTCATCTGAAATGGTTAAAAGTTTGCCACCTAAGTGATGATGTGCTTCAGTTACATGAGGAATGAGCAATGCAGAATACCTCAGTCATAAAACATGACAGATGGAAGGGATCACAAAGATTCTCTCTTAACCTACCCCAATTCTTCCAGGTGCAGGGTAAAGGAGGCATTCCTGACTTCAGCTCTGTTATGTTATGATCTACTTATATTTTAACAGTGTAACAGTTACAACTTATTGTTCCAACAAGGTTTTACAGTTCAGTTTTAAATATTCTCTTAGTACTTGTATATACTAAGTTATCAGAAAGAATCCATGTCCTCTGAAATTTAAGGCAGTCAACAATCATATAGCTAAAGTAGAAAATTAAATAAATAGGTACATAAATAAGTACATCATTTT